CTCGATGCAACTCGAACGCCTGAGTGAGCGCGAGCGAGCGAGCGAGGGAGAGAGGGAGGGAGACGGGCGGCGTCATTTCTGTATAAAAGTTTAATGTTTGTTATAGGATTTCCTTCCGTCGAAATGTACAGTTGCAAAATTGCGTTCGAAGAATACACACTGTAACCTGAATTTGGCAGACATGGAGTGTAAAATGTCTACTCTGCGGTTCTTTATACTATTCATGAATTTTGAATTTATACGTGTTTTTTTTCAGTGCATCATTTTCAAATATTTCGGCCGAATGTTGCGGTTTTTAAGAATGATTTAAATGTGCTAAGAACTATCCTAAAAGTGTTACGAAACTAAAAGTGCAAACAAAGCGGTGCCTTAAGAAACATGCGATCAGATGCCATCAGGCAGATGCGGATTTTAGAAAGGTTAACGGCAGCTCTCAAAAGCGACCATCCGATAACGTGCTGAGATTGCAACACGTGAGCGTCAGAATGAGGTTACCAGGTAAGTATCTACACAGCTCTCCGAGCTATAACAGGGTATAGAGTATAGCACTAAGCTCTATCGCCTCATTGACGGTTAACGATGTATACACATGATCTACTGCCCCGGGACTATACAGGGTAGAGAAAAAGTATAGACACAGCTCTGTTGACTAATACAGGGTAGAGTATACACAGCTGCTGACTATACAGGGTAGAGTATACACAGCCTCTGACTATAGCAGGGTAGAGTATAGACACAGCTGCTGACTATACAGGGTAGAGTAATGGACAGCTATGACTATACAGGGTAGAGTATAGACAGCTCTGACTATACAGGGTAGAGTATACACAGCTCTGACTATACAGGGTAGAGTATAGACAGCTCTGACTATACAGGGTAGAGTATACACAGCTCTGACTATACAGGGTAGAGTATACACAGCTCTGACTATACAGGGTCAGAGTATAGACAGCTCTGACTATACAGGGTAGAGTATACACAGCTCTGACTATACAGGGTAGAGTATACACAGCTCTCGACTATACAGGTAGAGTATAACAGACCGCTCTGACTATACAGGGTAGAGTATATGACAGCTCTGACTAATATCAGGGTAAAGTCATACACAGCTCTGACTATACAGGGTAGAGTATACACAGCTCTGACTATACAGGGTAGAGTATAGACAGCTCTGACTATACAGGGTAGAGTATAGACAGCTCTGACTATACAGGGTAGAGTATACACAGCTCTGACTATACAGGGTAGATTATATACACAGCCTCTTCTGACTATACAGGGTAGAGTATACACAGCTCTGACTATACAGGGTAGAGTATACACAGCTCTGACTATACAGGGTAGATTATATACAGCTCTGACTATACAGGGTTAGAGTATACACCGCTCTGACTAATTACAGGGTAAGAGTATACACAGCTCTGACTATACAGGGTAGAGTATATACAGCTCTGACTATACAGGGTAGAGTATACACAGTCTTCTGACTATACAAGGGTAGTATATAGACAGCTTTGGCTATACAGGGTAGCGTATACCACAGCTCTGACTATACAGGGTAGAGTACAATCAGGCTTCTGAACTATACAGGGTAGAGTATACGACAGCTCTGACTACACAGGTAGAGTATGGGACCAGGCTATGACTATACAGGGTAGAGTATAGACAGCTCTGACTATACAGGGTAGAGTATACACAGCTCTGACTATACAGGGTAGAGTATAGACAGCTCTGACTATACAGGGTAGAGTATATCACCAGCTTCTGACTATACAGGGTAGAGTATACACAGCTCTGACTATACAGGGTAGAGTATATGACAGCTGCTGACTATACAAGGTAGAGTATACACAGCTCTGACTAATACAGGGTAGAGTATACACAGCTCTGATAATACAGGGTAGAGTATACACAGCTCTGACTATACAGGGTAGAGTATAGACAGCTCTGACTAATACGGGTAAGAGTATACACAGCTCTGACTATACAGGGTAGAGTATACAGACAGCTCCTGACTATACAGGGTAGAGTATAGACCAGCTCTGACTATACAGGGTAGAGTATAGAACAGCTCTGACTATACAGGGTAGCAGTAATACACAGCTCTGACTATACAGGGTAGATTATATACACTAGCTCTGACTATAAAGGGTAAGAGTATACACAGCTCTGACTGTATATACACAGCTGCTTGACTATACAGGGTAGATTATATACAAACTGCTGACTATACAGGGTTAGAGTATACACAGCTCTGACTATACAGGGTAGAGTATACACAGCTCTGACTATACAGGGTAGAGTATATACAGCTCTGACTATACAGGGTAGAGTAATACACAGCTCTGACTCAATACAGGGTAGTATATAGACAGCTTTGGCTATACAGGGTAGCGTAATACACAGCTCTGACTAATACAGGGTAGAGTACACACAGCTCTGACTATACAGGGTAGAGTATAGACAGCTCTGACTCACTACACAGGGTAGAGTATACACAGCTCTGACTAAACAGGGTAGAGTATAGACAGCTCTGACTATACAGGGTAGAGTATACACACAGCTCTGACTATACAGGGTAGAGTATACACAAGCTCTGACTATACAGGGTAGAGTATACACAGCTCTGACTATACAGGGTAGAGTATAAACAGCTCTGACTATACAGGGTAGAGTATACACAGCTCTCGACTATACAGGGTAGAGTATACACAGCTCTGACTATACAGGGTAGAGTATACACAGCTCTGACTATACAGGGTAGAGTATAGACAGCTCTGACTATACAAGGGTAGAGTATACACAGCTCTGACTATACAGGGTAGAGTATCAACAGCTCTGACTATACAGGGTAGAGTATACCACAGCTCTGACTATACAGGGTAGAGTATACACAGCTTCTGACTATACAGGGTAGAGTATAACAAGCTCTGACTATACAGGGTAAGAGTATGGACAGCTATGACTATACAGGGTAGATTATATATACAGCTATTTACAACAGAGACGACGCATATCAGACATCATAGTTATGAATAATAATAATTGCCTAGGAGACCGAAACGGGCATTACACAGAATAATAATATATATATAGGGCCCCTATATATTAAACTGCGAGGCTACGCCTACGATGACGACGCTATAATGGCGCAGGATAGCGTCTTTGCAAGAAGTCGCTGTTGATCGATCGGCACAGCTTAGCTGAGACGGCCGCAGAGAAATCTTGTTGCTTGATTGCCATAGCTTGGGCTATAGCTAGCCATGGGGTGTGACCTAGCTTGGGTAAAGCCAGGTAGTTTAGTTTTTTTAGCGCCGCTCAGTGGTTCTTTTACGTCCCCATTGGCCTTAGTATTACTGGAGACGGAACCGCCATTTACGTAGTCATCCGAGCCACGGGAGATTCCACAGTCTCCAATGTTGAGGGGTGTTGCTATCCCCGGGCGTGAGGTAGGGTCACGTGATTACAGTTGACGTATACTTCAAGAATCATTAATGCATTCGTAACGCTAACTCCAACACCTCCAAACGCTAACCATAACACTAATATATGTAATGTCGGAGCGCTATATTTAGGTCCAAAAATTTAATCTATGGTGTGGGGACAGATTACATGATGCAAAAAACCGCAACTAACTCTAACCCTAACCCCTCAACCCTAAACCTAACCCTAGTGCTGCTCCACGTTGGCGGTAATAGCATTACAGCAATGTTGAGACGCGCAGGTTTTTTACACCTTGAGAAAATTCACGTGCCCCCGACCAGGGTTTGAACTTCACAGCCTTTAGTGGACAGTGTACAACAGTGTAGGCGAGTGCCTAACCACTGGCCACGGAGGCCTCAACTATAGTTATAGACGTGCCGTTGAAACAGCAGTGTGTATATGTCCAGGGCGCTGGTCTCTGCTACTGACATCTTAATTCGCCGTTAAGGCGCCCGCACCGCAGCTCTTAGTGCTGGCAATCTCAGCATCGAGTCAACACAACACGTTCCCGATTGTCACTACTGATTGCTCGTGTCTACTGTACGAATAGAATTACTTAACATGTCTACTTACCATGCCCCGAGGCGATGAGCGTACACGCACAACGCATGCACGCGCACGCACGCACGCACGGGACGCACGACGCACGCACGCACGCAC